ATTAATGATAGTGCAGTTGATGATTTTTTTTTTTTTTTTTTCCACGACTACAATGACTCGTCATGACGTCAGCGTGTTTTTTTGTGCACACAGTGAGAAAATACGAGCAGACATGTTTAAAAAACAATTTGTTGTGCCGCTCTGGGTTTTTTCGAATTGTTATGTGATACAATTGATATTTCATATTGAAAAAAAATATTAATTTACAATGATAATAACTCCGAATTTTTAAATAAATAACGAAACCCAAAAAAATCCAAACATGGTTTTTTAATTTTTATTATGAGAAACTTAATATCGATAAAATATCAATAAAATATCAATAAAATATCAATAAAAAACCGCATCCTCCAGTATGCAACCTGTTTATAATAAAAATAAAAAAAAAAACAATTGTGTTCGGACAACTGTTATTGGCTTCTTTTATTTATTTATTGAAGAAAAAACAATGGTTTTAGTTCAACTTTATGTGGATCTGCTCTGTGACTTAACCGAATCCTCTTATTGCTGAGAGAACTACTCTTTGCAACATATAAGTAGATAATATCGAATAAGTTCAGCACGCCGGAAACATAATTGCGATTTATGTTCCCGCTATTGTTCAGAGGGGGACCGTCTGCTCGCTTGCCCCTTCTGAGACACATTACACGACTCCCGAATGACGATAGGAAAATCTTTATAATTTACCCTAAAGGCCGCGCCCGCTCGCCCGCCTCCTCGCCTAAAGCGAATCGGAAATGATGAATTTGCGAATGTCTTATCGCGAGAACGAAACGACGTTGTCGTGACAGCGCGAGAGTCGGCGAATAAATAAGCCGTTCTTACGGAAGACAATGCTCGTGGGGACGTAATCCTTAGGCGGTCCACCCTCTTGTGATTGCGAAATCTCTTATCGGGAATGACGGAACCGTGAGAGAGAAATTAGAGATCCCCCAATGCCGAGTGGGGAGGGGGGGGAGGAGGATTTGCCATTGTGCGCGCGAGCTTCCGGGATGGCAGCTGGTCAAAATTATAGTCTCCAGAATTCGTGTATTTCGAGATTGCCGTTTGAGATATTGAGGGAGGGGAGTCGATAGCGGAACGAAAGGCATACTTTCGTGTCATTAATCAAACGACTTGATTATGCCCATTGTGCGTGATGCGCAGTTGGAGACAATTAGCGACAACTGAGAGTATCCTGGCACATTCTCTTCGTTCCGTTCGCTCGGTGCCAACTTCGAGCAGACTTTGCGATGCAAATGTCGACAGCGTTAAACGAGCGTTTCAGTGTCTTATCGCGATGCTCTTTCCAGATACATACTTCAATTAACACACAAATGTACCGAAACTTGTATCGCAATTTGTAAGTTCGCTCTTGCGTGCGAATTTTCGTTAACATAGAAAAGCGATATTTCGCTCGCTATCGCTCGAGTTAATGTTTCAAGTATCAATGTTAATTCAAACAATTAACAACGATTTAGTTTGACTAGCGTGTATAAAATATTAATGGATATAATTAATTCATAATACGTAATTTATAATTAAGTGACAATTTACATACACGAAGAACCTGTATATTGACTCGTATTGGCTTCAGTCATCAGTAGATTTTCCTTGTCTCACGAGCTTCTCTAATTATTAATTTATATTTTTTTTCGCAATGTTATTAATTTTTCAAAGGATAATTGTTTTAATAAAACGATCGAAGGGCCTGTGCGAGTCAATACATAAAATGTTAGTGTTATGTAAAATACTTTTATTTCGTAAAAACAATTAAGTTTTACTTTTTTTTAAATATTCTTCAGTGAACTAAACAAGAAAAATTGTTTTTTATTTTTTTAAATTTTTATCAAAAGATCTGTGAACTTGATGTACTTGATAATTGTCACATTCCACTGCATTGTAAGAAATCCGGCAAGTTTCCAACCGGTATAGAAAGATGTCGCAAAAGCGCGATTCAAGTCCCTTTCCAATCCTCCCGGAGGCAAAGCGACGCGCGCGCGGGGCGAAATCCTTTAATTGACCGCACGCAAGAATTCATCCCGATGAGTCTTAGGCCAATTAAGGAAGTTTCTCCGTTAGGAAGGTTTTGCAACCTTTCCGCGTCCCTGCGCGCAAGCTATTACAGAAATTAACGGATCTTCGGGCGATGCATTTGCATTATCCGCGATGAAATAATCATCTCAGATTACGCCGTAGATATTTTTAAACGACGCATTAGAATTAATGGCGAGGGCAATTTAAAGTGAACAGTAATTCATTTGAAGGATAATACGAGATCTTATCAAGAATATTGTCGTAACATCGGTATAATAGAGTGTAACATAAAGTTACGAAGAAGTTCACTTGCGAGATAAGTGCGTTGTCTAGTGGCGTTATCAGTTGTTGCGAGATAACGATTATCGATAAATCTTGTTTGGAAGAATCGAAGAACGTTGACGCATGTAACGTGACATTATTATAATTTAACAAGTAAATTGAAAGAATACAAAACACGACGGGTGACAAATAGAAAAGAAATTCAAACTGCGTTATTCTCCCGATTTTCAAATGTGTGTGCACGTAAATTTCGCATAAAAATTCCACTTTCCTCGTTGTGTTGACGCGTCATTTTCATATATAATATTCGCGCAAGTGGGACTCGCGCTTTTTCGCTGTGAACGCGAGAACGGGAGAGGTCGAATTTTTTTTCCGCCGGCAATTTGCGGCGGTTTCAATTTTCGTACCATTGCCGATTACGTCAGACGCGACCTGCGTCACACGCGAGTTGCTCGTTCGCGCCAACGGCGTATCTCGGTTCTCTGTTCCGTGAGAACTCCCCTAACTTGTTTTTTTTTTTTTTTTTTTTTTTTTGTGAAATCCGTATTCAATTATTTTCACATACCTAACTACGGTACCGCTCCGCGGGTAGGGTTTTCAGTATTTGCGAGATCAACTGTTACAACGACGCGCGTGTGCGCCAAGGAAAAAAAGAATCATTTAGGCGAGCTTGCCCCCGATCCCGTATTTCGATTACACGGCTCGCTCATCGCATTGTGCTAAAACCGAGAGGGTTGTTTTTTTTTTTTTTGTTTGTTTTCACAGAGAGCTGTTCGATTTCCCTTCTGCGCTTTGTGTGAAACGCTCTTGTCGACTTGACAACTGCAGGTGCGCATAAGGGTGCGACGATCCAGCGCCGGTGGGCAATGTGCAAGATCCATTATCGCCGCACTTAATCAGCATAAAACGGAAATCGACCGCGTCGAGGCCGCGCGATGTGGGCACTTTGAGCTGGCCGCGCTTCGAGCAGTAATTAACCGCGTCCGATCGTAAATCGGCACTTTCCCGCGCGCGCTTCAAAGATATATTCCCACGAACTTAACGTGTAGTTGCTCGCGGCAGCTGGCCCATCGTAAATTCGATAATGATTTCCTCTCCTCGTCGTTATTTCCATTCGTCAGGTAGCCCGGGCTTACGTGCGCGAAGTTAACGAGCTAATGAGCTTGCGGAGTTGGCACACGGCGCGAAGAGGCAAGACGGGCAAGCATCTATTCCGCATTACACCGTTGATGCAGCTCGCTGCCCGCTCCGCGGATGACTGTGAGAAGGTGTGGGAGAGGGGGCAAGAGAAAGAGGAGGAGGTCACGGAGCGTTTCCCAGTTAGGGCAATTCCGCACTTTCGCTCACCGCAATTAATTAGCTCAATTCTCGCTTCCTGTTATGTCCGTCGGACGTCGGACACCCATCCCGCATTCCGACAATGTAGCGCACGCATTCCGCCGTCACAGTTCGCGCACGCATCTCCGGGGCTGCTGCTTTGCGCTGCGCGCGACGCGTAGTCATGAGCGCCGAGACAACGTCAATCTGCTTCTCCGTGTTCTGCGTTTACGTGCTGACAGCGCCGTCAACGCCATCCCCGGGGAGAGTATCGCCTCGTCCCACGTCTCACGTGGGTAAGGCGTCCGCGCACCTTTGTTAAAAGTTATAATTTCTCTTTCTCAGTTTTCTTCAAATTGTCATTGAAAGAGAGAAACCAAATTTCAAGTTTTATAAGTTTAATAGGAATGTCGAGAAATTCAATGAAAAAAGATAACATAAGAACTTAAGTGTGAGATAGTTTCTTTGTATGAAGAGTATTGAGAAATATATACGGTGTTGTAGATATACATATACAGGATGTCTGAAACATTTTGACGCAGGCGAAGTATGAAACTAGATTGGATCAATCTGAAAAGTTATTTACCGTTTTGTCAAATTCGCAATATTTATTAATCAATTAATGTGAGCGCGATGAACTCTTTAGACGTGTTTGATTTTCAATTGTGAAACAGCTGATCGCAAGAAGCTGTGTTCACACACTGTTCACTTGTTCTGTCTCTCGTTGCTAAAACATTGCATGAGATATACAAATTTTTTTACAATTGAAAATTATACACGCCCACAGAAACTGGACCATTGCTTCCCACGCGCTCATTGGCTCGCATTAATTAATAAGTATCACAGTAAGTATCACAAATTTTGCAAAATGATAAATGACTTTTCTGTTCAAATTGTGATTCGATTTATTTTTATATTTCGACTTAATCAAAATTTTTCAGACACCTTGTATATTTGTTATTTTATAGTATATAAAGTGATATAAAGTGATATACACTCTTGTATGCAACTTTTGATTGATATAAACTGTGTAAGGAATTTAAACGAGCGGTTTAACCGCAAACGAGAATCACGTAAGTCCCATGGAAAATTGGAAGGGACGCAATGTGCGCGAGATCGCATTTGCACGCTCTTTTCTCGACCGCAATGTGTATGCGCTCGCTGTTTCTGCTTGTTCGCGGCGTCTGCAAAAATAAAGCGCGGCGATCGTCAGAGTTGCCCCGTAATCGTATCATTATCGTTGAATTACGTGCAATCGCTCTGGGCATTCACCGGGGTGTTTTTCCACCGGCCGGTGTCTTCCATAGCGAGATCGCCACATGCATTCGTTTTTCTTGTCAGCGTAATGACTGGTTACATTTGTGGTTTTTCCTTTTTTCTTGCAGCTTACGTGAACGCGACGGACCCGTATCTAGAAATACTTCCGAACGGCGAGACCCAGACAAAGCCCATCGGGTCAAGTATTATACTCACTTGTAAACCAAAGGTGGAAGATCCTCAGCTTATCACAGACATGCAATGGCTTGATCCACAAAACCGCGAGATCGACAGGTTGAGGTAAGTCAATTATCGTCAATCGACGCGATCTCTGTTTTTTTTTTTTTTTTTTTTTGTTTTGCTCTTCCTTTCGCTTGCAAATGAGATTTCCGAGACG